TGTATTGTTTAATGAATAATGATAAGAAAAACAGTCTGTACTTTTTTTTAGTATAGATCCAATGAAAAACTATTTTCCATTTGTAAATGGTTGAATTCTTGCATGCAGAAGCTGGAGTTATATGGAGGGATAGCTGTACTTACAATATTCCAAAAATTATGACATTTGCAACTAACTTTTAAAAATGTCAGTGGAAAAATTTAGATTTTTTTGACCTCCAAATTTAGATTTTTAACTTAGAAAAAGCATATGGAGTGAGGTAAGAGGGTCCACAGTTTTAAAAACAAAAAATTTTATTTTTGGAGGTACTGGAGTTTGGACTCAGGGCCTCCTACTTTTGAGCCACTCCATGGGCCCTCAATATTCTTTTTGGATGTATGGAAGCTTAAATTTTGAAAGAACAATGTTCTACAAAGATTAGGACCCTAAAAGGGCCTGCTAGAGAGTATATTGAACTTGTGGCTATGGTGAGGCCCACAGAAGACGGTGCATCTGGAGGAAATTACTTCCTTGGGACAAGTGTCCCAACTCCAAAATTGGGAGGATTCTGAGGCTGCATCTCACTTGCTTCTCAGATTCCTACTGAGGAGTTTCCTGTTTGCTCCTGCGCTTGCCTTTTCATCTAGGTGATAATGCTTAGGACCCAGATACATGTATTATAAGGACTGTAGCATGTGCAGATGCTCCTGTATGTATCTGGATTCCAGATATGCACCTGCTTTAAATTCTTAGCTAAATCCAACAGTCACATGCAAATTACATGCCCCCCTACTGGCTGGGTGCCTCTTTAGGTGATTTGCAGCATCAGGATGTTCAGATGGTGACTGGGACTCCTTTTGTCTGTACTGCCTGATCCCTGGGTCCCATTCAACAGGTGAATGGAGGATTTCATACTTTGTATGCCTGTGAGGGCTATGTGGTTGGGGGCAGTCGGGGCGGGTGATGAGCTGGAGGGAAAGAGAAGTATTGGCTTGTTCAGACAGTCAATGAAGAAGCTTGCTCAGGACCTGGAAGAAGTGACTACATGCCAATTACAACGCTTGCCTCAATTCCCACGAGACCACAATTGCTCAACTGCAGGTCTTACCTGGATGTCTCTATTTCCAGCTGCCCCATTTACCAGAAGGTGTAGTGTTCTCAGGGATCAGGTGAGACCCCTGATTTGGAAGAGTAACCCAGGGCCCCTGGCATGCTCCTAGCTTCCCCTGCCAATCCCTGCCCCACCCCAATTCTTCCTTTCCCAGTGATCCTAGTCCATGTGCCGTATTTCCTGGCTTTATGACCTGCTATATGAAATGGATTTGAGTTCTCATGATTATTTTGATTATTTATGTAAGCAAAGAGCCTTGCTTACATAAATAAAAGAAGCAATGCTTCCGGACTTCCCAGGAAGAAAAATCTTATCACTTAACTTGCTTCCAACCTGCCAATTTAGGATCCAGGATGTGGGTGAGATATTTTAAGATCTGGGAGGAGACTCTGACTATGGTCAAATTCCCCATGGGCAGGCATCACTCCAGCCTCTTAGGTCATCCTCACCCTGGCTTCCAGTTAAACCAGATGTTTGTGGGGCAGCTTAATAAGGCTCTATTGGGAGCGGGAGGGAGTGAGGAATGGGGTGAGGAAGAGGTCTGTGCAGAAGACACACTGGCTTACCCCTGCACTCTGGCTAGGGTGTCAGCAGCTACCCTTTCTCCAGTCTATCTTTCAGATCAGGCATGTTCTTATACGCCATTGGATCCTTTATTTTCCCATAACCAGGTACTTGCATACAGCAGCTCAAGCCTATAGAATAAGCCACTGCCTGCCCCTAGGAACTGCTTATTACAGAATCTGAGAAATAAAGTCAAGGTTACAAGCATTTGCCTCCTACTTTCCATATATATGGGCTCTTCTTGAAAACTGGTAGAGCTGCATGTTACCTGCTGGAGGTGCAGACAAGTTGACTTCCTAGCTTTTGGGAAAGACTTCCTTTTTTGGGTTATATTCTGTGTACTTGGTAGAGGATTCTGGCACTTCCCACTCAAATCATCTGACTCTTTCCATTTAGAAGCAGGCCATCTCTCTTTTTTTCAGGCCAAGGACATCTAGTGCAGTGAAACAGAGAATTATTGGCTCCAGAGCAGGAATAGAATAGTCCTTGGAGGGTCAATTTTAGTCTTTGGCTAAGACCCAGGAATTGGAACTTAATCCTTTTGCATATTTTAATGAAGAAGATTAAACAAGTATGCATATATTTAATCTTATAAATATGTTTATATATATATGCAATCCACAAATGTGTTCTTCCAGCAAAAAATTCAAACATCATGAGTAAAACTAAAGCATTTCTTCTTGATGATTCCCTCCTACATGCTCCTTCATGCCAAGTAACCATTATTTTCAGTCTGATCAATCCCCTTCCAGCTCTGTCTCCACATACTCTTAGGAGTACACAATTATGCATTGGGGTTATGCAGTATTTTTTCTTTTATATAAATGCTCTCACTCTGTACTTGTTATTGTGCAATTTGACCTTTTCTGTCAGTGATTTGCCTGGATATCTTTCCATTTCAGTATCATCTCCTTTCTTTTTAACTTCCCATGATTTAACCTTTTTCCTAACACTGGAGAGTTAGGTTATTTCTAGTTTAACTTGTAATATTTATAAACATTGCATCCATAAACATCCTTGAACTTTTTCCTTAGTGGGATACCAAACAGTGGAATTGCTGAGTCATAGGCATTTTTGAAAAACTAGACACTGCTAATTTTCTTTTCAAAATGGCTGTAGCAATTTACCCCCACACAAACAATTTGGAATCTGGCTTTCTCCACAGGGGGGTTGCTGTTATAGGCTGCCATTCTTCCTGGTGTGTCTTCCCTTTTGAATCTGAGAGGGATAGTGAAATTGTATCACTTAACCAAAGAAAAGGGGCTGTTCCACAGCTGGGGCTGCAAGGGCACCTCTATGTTCTTCCTAGACCACCTGCCTGTCTCTCACCAACACTATTTCATCTTGCTGAATGGGTGCAACTTAGGTGTCTGCGCCAATAGTCATCCATCATTTGCCCTGATGTTCTGAAGCTAGGAGAGGGGCCCTGTCGTCCTCTGACTTTGCTTGGCGAGCAGTGGTAGTGAACTGCTGAGAACAGCACATTTCAATAGTTGTTGTTTTTCCATAATGGATCATATACATTTTATTTTTGGAAAGTGCCTTCAAAAATCATTGTTCATTTTATTTCTAAGAAAATGATAGATTCACATGATTTAAAAAATCCAACTATATAAAAAGTACATGGAGAAAAGTTTTATTCCCACTCTATCCTTATGTATTTTATTCGCCAGCCCTCCTCAGTAACTTTTTTTCTTATGTATCTTTCAGGATCTTTCAGATCAACCACAAGCACAATGGAATGTCTTGCCTTTCTGCCCTGCCTTTTGTTATGTAAAAGTTATGTGTGTGGGGGGTGTGGGGGGAGCAGTACTGGGAATTAAACTCAGGGCCTTATGCTATTGAGCCACACTCCCAGTCTTTATCTTGTTCTTTTTAGTTATCAGAAAGTCTTGGAGAGAATTCCATATTGGTGCAGAGAGTTCTTTCTTGTTCTTTATTATATTTGCATAGCGTCCCATATCCCATAGTCATTTAACCAGTCTCCTGTTGATAGACACTGGGTTATTTACAAACGGTGTATAATGCATTAAGGTAAGTACATTTGTGATTCTCTTAGTTTCAAACTCCTCCTTAGAGGAAACTGGGGTTTTCTCTACAGTTTCAGCAACAGGGTGTGTTAAACTTTTGATTTTTGTCAAGGATGTAGAACATTTGCATCTCAAAGTGCTTTTGACTTTCTTATTATGACTAATGGTGAGCATCTTTTACTTTGTTCAGGATCTAATAGTAGTTCCTGTTCTGTGAACAGCTTGTTAATATCCCTTGCTAGTTTTTGTTGGATTTTTCTCTCTCTCTCTTTTTTTTTTTTTTTGTGGGACATAGGTTTGAACTCAGTGCTTTGGTGCTTGCAAAGCAGGCTTGAGCCACACCTCCAGTCCATTTTGCTCTGGTTACTTTGAAGATGGAAGACTCACAAACTATTTGCTGGGCCAGCTTCTAGCTTTGATCTTCCTAATCTAAGGCTTCCAATAAGGTATGAGACAATGGTGCCCAGCAGACCATCTCCCTGCCCCCTTTTTTGGTAGTACTGGGGTTTGCACTCAGGCCTTATGCTTGTCAGGCAGGCGCTCTACCACTTGAGCCACTTCACCATCCCTTGTTCCTATTTTTTTCTAATGTTTTGAGAGAGCTCTTTATATGCTCAGCAAATTATTCCATTATCTGACATATCAATTTATGTGGGATATGGTGACTTTTGTGCCTTGACTTTGCTTCTGGTGACTTCTGAAATCCCAGGTTTACCTTTGCAGCATTTATTCTCATACTTTTATGCTTTTGCTCATGCTTGTCCCTCTGTCTGGGGTACCCTTTCTTTATTTTCCTATCTAGGGAACTTCTGCTTGTCCCTTTAGGCCTGACTCATATGTCACCCTCCTTGATACTTTGTACCTCTTACCAGATCTTGTGACTCCTTCCAGGCTACTCCTTTCATACTTTTATCTTGTCTCTACTTGTCATACAACCTTATTTTTGCTTGTACATTTCTGTCTGTCCTATTTAACTAGGAACTTCCATCTTTCTTATTTTTTTATTCTCAGCCCCTAGTTATACATTTGCTTAATAGATGTCTGTTGAATACTTGAACAGACAAATCATTGGTAACGTTGCCACCAACCCTTATTTCAGCAACACAATTTTTCAGATAAAAATTTGTAAACTGAATATCTTTTTGTTGAAAACAGAAATCAAGGGGATGTGTGAGGAGCTTGTCTTTGTGGCTAGTGATATATCTAGGTACTTTGTGTACTCAACAATGAGAGTGGGCTTCTAGACCTCCAATGAGAACCCTCATGGTCCAATTATCTTTACCTTTCTGTGTGAAATCTGGGAGAAGTCAATAACCAGAACAAAAATTTTTTTCAGTGAAATTTATTTCAGGTTCATTGAAACAATATGATCATAGATTTTTAATTTATGGTTATTTCCACCTACAAAATGTGAGCTTATCTATTTTCAGCCTTAATGAAAGGGCTGAAGAAAAGCAGTCCAAATTAAATTGATTCCATAAATATTGATGGCAAAGGTCTTTTGAAGGCATCGCTGCCTCCTGTCCCCTTGAATTAAATAGATTCACTAATCAATAAATACATAAATAAATAGGTAAGTGGTTGCTCATCAGAAACTGGGTACAAAAGACAGAGGGTTTCCTTGAACAGAACAAGACATGGGTTCCATCAGGACTTTGAGGAAGCAGGACAAGTGAGAGAAACCTGGCTTGGAGGAGGGTTTGAGGATTCCCCTGAGTGGAGAGAGTTGTCCACTGGCTGGTGGCAACTGAGCTCCTTAGCATCCTATAAGGAAGGAGTTGGGTTCAGCAGAGACAACAGTCAAGTTCATCCTGCAGTCACTCAGAACCCTCCTATTCCCCTTTGGCCTGCCCTAGAGCAGAGGCTACATTCAGCACATTTGGACCCGCTGGGATGATTCTGTTTAGGAAGACACAAATTCCATGGTGAAGTCAGTTATATCTTGGCCACCGCTGTTTCCCAAGAAGACAGGCAGTTGGTTTGCTTGAGAGGTACTGATGTACCAATTTGGGAACTGAGCAGACTCAAATTCTACCCTGTTTTTGATTTCTATCTTGTTGAAGACAAATCGCTTTTCCATCTTCCTCTTTGGGTATTGTTTGGGGTCGACACTCTGCAGCAAAATAAAAATAAGAATTTTTGTGAGAGAAAGGGCAAAGACACTATGGTAAAGATGTCCTCAGGCTGCTAGAGAAGACCAATGAGCAGGCTGCAGGTTCAGGAGCCAGACTCCCAAGTTATCTTTGGGACCTCAGCTTTCTATGACATCACTGAAAGAGTCCTTCATCTCTTCTGAATCTTAGGACCAATGCTGAGGAGCATTGTGTGGGTGTGAGTTAAAAGTGAAAATTAGGCTAAAGCTTCTAAGAAGATTAGTTACCAGGTACTTTTGCCTCATTTTTTCTTAAGGTACTACAACGATATCAACTTGGAAAGGAAGCTTTTGCTAGAAAAACTGCAAATAGTGGTGGGGTGATTTTAGAAGCAGAGTAGAGATCAACAAGTCCCTGTAACTGGTTAGTTGCCCAAGTTGTCATTTATCAAATGAGAAACTGTAACAATGTATGATCCTTGTAGTCTTCACAGTGTGTAATCTGTTAGGGTGGTGACAATGGCAGGACATTGTTTAGCAGCTTGGTGGGACTGAAGTTTGCATGCATTTAAAAGCTCTATTCGATTTATTTTACATTTATGCAAAACTGTCAAGCAGATCTGCTTCCAGATTTTCCAGGGGTGGGGTGGGGCGAGAAGAAGAGGGTTATCTGGGAAGTAAATTGTCTGAGGGTCTTCAGAAGAAGCAAAAAAGGGCTTCCATTCTGGTATTCACTCACCTCCAGCAGCAGGGTGGGCTTCTCATCTTTCATCACACAGGACAGGTACAGATTCTTCCCCTTGATGCCCAAGGCTACAGGTATTTTGCCGCTACTTTCTTCTCCTTGTACAAAGCTCATGGAGAACACCACTGGAAGAAGGAGAGGGGTCTTGTGGTCAGGGTTACAGCAATGTATAGTGGGCTTACACCTTGGACTGCACATGCAGAACCTGAACAACTTAGCATTCTCTCTTCACAATGAGCTTCATTTGGCCTAACAGACCGGATAACTGGGCTTCTCACAGAAAACAGCAAGGTCAGTGGTTGATTCAGGGTTACCCAAAGAAGGTCTGACTGTTTCTCAGACTGTTTCAGAAACATAGAACAGCAAGTGGGAAGAACTGGGAGAGCAATGGCTTAGCTGGGGAAAGTGACTTCAAAAAAGAGATACCATTTTGATCTTCCTTAGTTATAGCAGTCTCACTTGAGGCCCTGCGCCACTCTAACTACTCAATTCCTATTTCTTTTTCAAAAGAAATAGGATCTCCCTGGCCAGGTTAGAGCTGGAAGTTTCCTTCCCTCATCCCCAAGATGGTGCCCTTCAAGGTCAGCAGTTTGGAAGAACATGCTGCTGCCGCCCCTATGCTCTTACTCAGCCACAGTGGCATGATGCCAGGTTGATCCCCACAGCTAAAGATGGGCTTGCCACATAAACTTGCCATTTATGGCAGAGAGATATGAGTTCCTGGTGGTAAGTAAATTTTCCTGTAAGGAGCCATGTGGTATGGGGCAGGAAGGATGTTTGGAGCAAGGGGGCAGGGTTGGCAACAGGGATGTACATATTATCTCTCTGCCATTTTAGTTTCAGGCTCAACAGCAGGAAAAAAGAACCCTCAGGCAGTTAGGGCACGCCCATCAGATGACCCCACACTCCGGGAGCAGTGGCATCACTTTATACCTTTGTGACTTGACCGGACAATGGTGCCCGGAATACTCGAAGAGTCTAACTTTCCTAGTCATATCTCTTGTTAACAAATGGACATGCCAAAGCATTTAAACTGGTACCATGGTTAGGCCCCATACAAACACTCATATACTATTTTTATGCTTTTTTTCTACTTCTGTTGATAATTTGCCTCCATATTCTATTTTATTCAAAATGTGGACAAATAGCAAGCTGCCAGGAAGCCAGGAAGGAAACCAAGATGTCCCATTACCTTGTTGGCTCAGATTCTGCCCATTGAGGTGGAGAGCTTTCAGCTCATAGGGATCAGACAACACAAGACATTTTTGCTGTCCATCCCGGAGCCTGCAGTTCAGTGATCGTACTGATGCATCACACACATAATCGTCATCATCCCATGTTTCATAGAAGATGGGTTCTGAAATTTGGAGGACACAGGTTGTTTAGGCAGAGAATCAGAAGAACAAGCCCAGGGATGTGAGGCATCAGAATTTGGTTTCTTGGAGGACATCAAAGCATGCCTGGTCAAAGTTGGATTATAATATTGGTCGGGAGGAAGTTGGGAAGAGTGGGGTGGATAAGAACACTGTGCCTGGCACCATAAGATAGGGGCTCAAGTTTTGATTGCTCTTGTGAGCTAGCAATAGAGGAACTTATGTAAAATGTTGCAAGTAATAACACCAGCCCAACAGGAAGGTTGTGACTTGCTGGTGATAATGTAAGTAAAAGCCCTCAGAATGAGTGAATGAGTTACAAATATAAGCAGTTATCAAGGTCTTTACAAAAAGAACATCTTCAACTAAAGTGATGATTGATTTGGTTTTGAAGCTTTTTTGTTTTCTTCTCATTACTGGGGCTTCTACCTTTAAGGGGCTTCAGTTTAAGGGCCTTCAGCTTGGGGAGGGTAGTTGGCTGCTGAGTGATGGGCTGAAAAGGACCTAAGTGAAGCTCTCAGGTTCCTGCTCTCATTAAGTACCTTCTTCAAAGATGAAGGAAAAGAAGTTCTTCAGGTCATCATTCTGGAAGGCCTGTGAGCAAGCAATAGGTTTCTTCCTCAGCTTCTCCACAGCCACGATGAGAGAAACCACATGCTTCAAGCTCTTGTTGAGGTGCTGGTGGGAGAACTGCAGCTGGATGCCTTCATCAGGACAGCAGAGGTCCAGGTCTTGGAAGCAGCACTGTGGAGAAACCGTGAATGCCTGGGTTAACATCAGAGAGCAGGAAGTGCCCTTAGAGATAACCAAGATCCTAATCATAATCTCTCTGTCTCTGAAAGCTAGAGGTTAAGTAGCTTGTCCAAGGGTACATGGCAGCCAACATGTGGGCTTCTTGACATCCTATATGCTATTCTTATAGAATAAATCCTATTTCTACTTTATCTTTCTTACACATGCTCCATATTACCATATAGTTACAACTTCTTGAACCCTATGTTTTTTTGTATCTATAATGCTTAACACTGTGCATTTAATTTTTCATGACAATAATGATCATGGCATTTTCTATTCACCCATGCTCACTCAGCAAGCTCTCAACTTTTCTACACAGAACCTTTTTCTCATAGGCATTCTGCAGATACTCTAAAAATGGTTACTGTTTGCGAAATATGTTAGCATTTTCTGGTTATTTGGAGATATTCTATATTACATCATCCCAAGGCATGATATTGATTTCAAAGCTTGAGGGACAGAGATGGAGACCTCTAACAGCACACAGGAAGGGCAGTTCCTGTCCAGAGCACTTGTTGCAGATTGAGAGACAGGCTCTGAAGGAGGCAGTGGGGGACAGGGCCAGGCAGAAGCCAAGGGACCCCACCCAGGGCTTTTGGTAAACAGTTACACTGGTTCTTAAAAAAAAAAAAAGAAATATACTTTTAACATGACTGAGGACTAGACTTGAGGCTAGGGGAAGGTGTCATGAACTGGAAAAAAGGTCAGAGAAAAGCAGCTGTCTATCAATTCACACAATTGATCAAATTGTGTTGATAGCCACACAACTTCAGGAAGTTGTCAGCAATCAAAAAAATAAGAAGGGACAGCTGGAATATCAACATGGCACTCTGTAGGGATGAGAGTCTGAAAAAAAGCCCCACCCACTTATTTGGGATAAAAAGCTAGCACTGAAAATATTCTAGAGCTGAAGGCTACAGGATGTCAGCATTTCTGAGATTATTTGGTTTGTGTCCTGCTTTTTTCAGATGACGGCCAAATAGCTAGTGAACAATTTTCTTTCAATTCCTAATTCATCTTCTTGTTTAGATCACTGATCTTTTTATGGTCTTAAATTCTACTCCAGGGAGCATAAAATCTATCCTACCCTAAAAGGGGATGACATGTGTTAATTCTCAAGGTCATCCTCTCTGGGTTACAGAGTTAAATTTAAGTGATTACAGTAGAGTGCATCCCTTTCCTGAAAGGAGGACCCAATTTGTGTTGAAGATTTGTCTGTCTTTCTACCATGAAACAGCATGGCCACTATCACCAAGCCTCAGTGAGTGGCTATGGTAGGGGGAGCTACATGGTGGCCAGGTCAGCATGCTGCACAGCCTGTATCTACCTTACTGGAAGAGGCAAAAGTCATTCCATCACAAAATACCCTGGGAACACTGAAGCCTAGAGTCCTTTTCTTTGAGCTTTTCCCTTGTCAGAACCCTTCCCTGCATGGGAGCTAAGCCCAGTGTCTCACCTTCATCTGTTTGGGACCATCAACCTCAAAGAACAGGTCATTATCATCACTGTAATAAAAACAGAGATATGATTTAGGGATGTTTCCTAAACAGGATTATTTTTCTTTCTGTGTACACATTTTCACTGTTAATAAGAAGGTAAACAGAATGCCACTCAAAGTTGCCTGAAGACTTTTGGCAAGTTCCATGGTGACATGCATGCAACAGTCTAGAAGGTAAGATTATGGGCTAGGCAGGTAAGCACCCTACGTGCTCCCTTTTGGATCTTGAGGCTTAAACTCTAATTTATCAGAGTCAGTTAAAATCTGTTCTCTCCTTTCCACCCAAGTCATACTTGCAGAGGGGTCTCCTATATTGTCCACTTAGAATTTTTTCTTCCCATTTGATATCTGTCAGAGTACCTGCAGCAACAACATCTAGATGGTCCCAAGGCTGGACTTGGAGTGGGAAAGCAGTCTTTAAATCAGGTTGACTTGACCCTACTTGCCACAGATGAAGGTAATTTGGGGACAAATCTGAATCTGTTTGATACAATGTGTGTTATCAAACCCTGTCTCTCCACGGAGACAGTTCAAGCCTGATTTCACTTCCTCACCTCTAAGCACAGATCACCCTCTACTGTTGAAAGGGGAGCCTTGTGCACATGGCTAAGCTCCATCTCCATCTCCCCACTGACCTGTGGAAAGCCATTATTTCACTGGTGAGTTCAGGAACTGCTGCCATGGCTGCTTCAGAGAGCTGTGAAAAGAGGAGAAAGTGAGTGACCATTTGCAGTGCCAGTTCCCCTGAGGCATGCCTTCATCTGTGAGTTTCCTTCAGCATTTGGTGCCTGGCAGGCATGCAAAGTCATGATCTCCGAGTGAAAGAGTGAGTGCATGAAAGAGCTGTCCTTTGGGTCTGGAGGAAAACATCTGCTACACCAAATCAAACCAGGAGAGTATTGCTAGGAGGCTTGGAGGAGGTTTTGACACTGATCCCTCAGATGCCTGTTGCTAGCTAATCAGTATTCACTCCAGAATATATTTCATAAGTCATAGCATAATAGTATACTTGACATTTTTGCAAACATTCTACCAACCCTCAGGCAGAGAAGGAGGCATGAGGAGAGTCAGGGGAGTGAGGGAAGGAGGGAGGGATGGAGAAAGAGAGAGAGAGAAACCTAGTTGTAAGTAAGAGTTAAAGCCATACTTGAGTGATGGAAGACTGGCTGGAGAGAATCCCAGATAGGTCTGTTATGCCTCAAACCTCAAAGAGATTTGTGATCTGCCAGTTCTCTCTCACTTTTTATGGCCTTCAAAAGCAGAAGTAAAGAGCTGAGAAAATTTCCCCTTTGGTTAACTGATTTCACAATCAAGTTGTAAGCATGGAGTGGGGGAAGGAGAGGAAGAGGGTTGGTGGGAACTTCTGGGGGGAAGGGTCTGATACACCGAAATAATTCCCTAGTCCTTGGAAGAACAAGGGGTAGCAAATGATGACACATTTTGCAAATGTGTCATTATGCAAATAAGCATTGCTTTTCTTAGGACTACTGTACAGATGATGTCAATAGTAAAATACTGGATTTTCCAGGGTTAGAAGAAGGTTTTAATTTAGGATCTCTGGAACAAAGTAGATATGCACGTACACATTTGTTTCCTCACGTCCTAGTACCTAAATTTTGGAACCTTCCTACTTGGAGATGGATAAATGGGTATAATGAAGTGACACTACCCTGCTCCCAGCCTGTTTGGATTGAGAGTACTCTTCTCTACTTTGGGAGGTCTCCATCACTTACAGGAGTGTCTGGAGAGACATTTGGCCTCTCTTGGATGGGGCAGGGCACATGCAGTATGTAGGGGAGCAGGCTCCTGACAGGGCCAGGGACGCCCTGGAGGCAAGTTCATACAACCCAGTAATGCCAGGTACTGGTCCTTCCCCAATTTTACATCGAAAACAATGGTAGATGACCAGTGAAATAAGCCTGAATTAAGCCACATTGTGAAAAGGTGGAGAATCAGTTCATGATCACAATCCCTTTTTAAAATGCAAAGGAGATACTCTCTGCTTAAAAGAATATTTTGATGAACTCTTGTTTCCATAAGATCCAGAGGAGACTATCTCTTGATAATGCTAAGTATAACCGGACTCTGTTTAATCCAACGACTAGCAGAGTGTCTGTCTGGTAACAACTCTTCATTGGTAGATTGAATGAATGACCAGGTCATAAGTGGTGCATGGACATTTTCCCTAGCACCTTTGGCACATCTATTTTACAACACTCATTACAGCCCTGAATTGAATCTGGCCCCCCCAACAAAACTTTGAACTCTTTGAGAAACAAGTTTAGCACAGTGCCTAGTATGTGGATGCAGGCAATAAGGATTTGCTGCCTGAATAGGTGAGCAGGAAATTTGACAGTATTTTCATTCAAATGAGCATATGCCTACTAAGCGCTGGGTACTGTGCTTGCTCTGTATTATCCAGAGGAGACGGTCCCTGACCTTGACAGGTGAGAGTATTTGAGCCACAAAGAAAATAGGCTATACTGTAGGCCAGGGAAAACTTTGTGGGCTTGCTCACCAAGCAACTTTCTGATTCTTAATTTGGCACCTGGTACCTTGATATCAGAAAGGTAGACACAAGAATCTCATCTTTTGTAAGTTATTTGTTCTTTTGGGAGCCTAAAAGCTGTTCATTGCATCAGTTGTATGTGTGTGTGTGTGTGTGTGTGTGTGTGTGTGTGTGTGTTAAGCAGTAATCAGTTCCTAGCACTAAGCCATCATAAAATTTGGTGTCTGGTCCTGCAGACACACTCCAGAGGCCTAAATGGGTGGCCTGGTAGACTTCTTTGTTTTGCAAAGTGGACTACTTTGCAAATTAACCACTGGTTCCCAAATTTCACTGGAGAGATGGCCACCTTCCTTAGTACCTTTGTGCTGTGGCCAGCAGGCCCTGGTGGTTTAGTGGCTCTGTGGGCTGTCCTGATAGAAAACATAGAGATGCCCTCAATCTGTTAATGTGATTACAAGTTGAGCAAAGTAGGATGAAAGCCAGTGACAGGAAGGGAGGTCTTGCTGGGACTTGGGGTGTAGGTCAGGAAATAAGCTACTTCCACTTTGCTGTCTTCTAGACATAGCATTCCTGAACCTCAGGATTTGCAAGCTGAAAGAATTCCTAATGATTATCTGGTGGGATCTAGTAGGATCATATGGATGAAGAGAGATCGCTATTTGAATGTGAACAGCAGATGAAGAAACCAAGCCCAAGAGAAGTGAAGTGATTTGCCCAATGTCACAGTATGGTTGAAGTGGTGCATAGATTCTTTCTGCTCAAGGAAAATTTTGGAACACTGGAGCAATGTCCCTTGATGTATGAGACTTTACCATTCTGCCACATCTCATCCTGGCCCTGTGGACTGGAACAAACCTCTACCATCCTGTCCATCTCAGGAAGTGAAATCTCTTGTTGTGTGAAGTAGGCAGGTTGCACAATGTGTGTATCAAACCCTGTCTCTCCAAGGAGACAGCTCAAGCACGACACTTCCTTCTGGCCCCCAATGAGCAGAGAACAGCTCATTATAGAAACACTTGCTGTATGTGTAAGTGCACTAGTGGGCGGGGTGGGGAGTGGTAGAGTGATATGTATGTTACAGGAGAGAAAGGAAGGATGAGGGGAATCCCTCATTTTCTGAGTTTTCATGAAAATCACAGGGACTTGAGATGCTTGATGAAAAGCATTTTGAGGTCTCTCACAAAAGTAAGATCTCACAAGGTAGAAGTTTAGTGAGAATTTATTTTAGTGTAATAGGATAAAATAGTGAAAAATAGAAGAGGAAGGAAGGATGGGAGTAAAGAAGACTCAAAATGGTGGTTCTTGTCTGGAGTATTTATCAGGGGGAATTTCATGTTTAATTTTCATCTAGATACATAGTATGTCATCTAGCAACCTGTAATCATCTTGCTAAATTTCCAAACATTGAAACAATGAGTTTGGGGTGAGTCTATTACCCAAAGCATGGCTAATATGGGTCTTGTTATTATTCAAGAACACAGAGACAAGTGGCTTAAGTTTACCCAAAACACAGGGACAATCTGTGTGAGATTTAGGACCTCCATTTGCCAGATAGTCCCTTTAATTTTTGGTCTCCCTATCTATTCAAAGAGTTTGAAGATTCTTAATACCTAGCAGGAAAAGCCCCTTTATGTCTCCCTATTCTGATAACATCTCTAAGAAGAAGAGAGGGTGATGGGCTTGCCGCTCTGATTTTTCAGATTTAGTTTCTTCCTGGTTCTGCTTTAATTATTGAATATGGCCCTTTTAACATTTTAAAAATTACTTTTAATTTCTTGGTTGCCTCATCTATCTATTCTACCTCAATATAGATGGCAATGTAGACCCAGGGAAATGGAACAAGCACAAGTGGGAAGGTGGCAGTGCGAGAATGTTGTGGGGATCTTCAACTGTTGGGAAATTCTTCATCTTTGTGTCACTGAGCCCTTCTGAATTGCAAATTCCCCTCTATCTTAGCAGGTCATTCCTTCAAGATGGAGGTAGCCATTTATTCAAAGCAGCAAGTGCCTTGGTCTTATATCTGATCTTGAGGCCCTCATTTTTAAGGAAACAAGGCAGATGGAATACCAAGGAACTGATGGAATGTGTGGGGTGGATCAGGCCCCACTGGGAGGCCAAGCCAAACTTTCAGAGATGTTCTTGGGTGTGAGAAATTCTAATCATCATCCCAGGAAGAGACAACTAATTAGTAAGGGCCACAAAAATGGAGATGGCCAATCAAAAGTGTCCTAACCTGAGGTACAAAACTTACTCCAAACTCTGCCTCAGCAGCTACTCCTACCATTTGTCTCTTAATGGTGTCCTAATAAATCTCTTTTCTCCTACTCTCCATCTTAGCAAATTCTTCTACCAGCCTGCAGCTCCCAAAATACCTGACCAGTTGGTTCTTATGTCATCATGCATGTCTGCTATCCATAGTGTGCTATTTCTTCTTTGTTTACCCTTGCACTTGGAGCACAAGTTAAGAATGGCTCTTTCCACCATTTTCCCCAAACCCCATCTCATTCTTGGAGTTGACTTCCTAACATAGTTCTTAAGAATCCGTCATTTTCTTCCCATGGGCCCTTCTGGTATAAAGTATCAGTAATGTCCTATGTACCCACATTGTCTCTGTTGATTCTTCTGTTTCTTTCAGTTTATGAGATTATTTAGGATTGGGCAATATGAACTTCAGAGGTTTTTTTTTGGGGGGGTGGGGACAGAGTCTCACTATATAACCTAGGCTGGCCTTGAACTCATAATTCTCTTGCCTCAGCCTCTCAAATGCTGGAATTACTGGTGTGCCATGAAGCTTAGCTCTGATTTCTAGTTTTAAGACCTCTGCCCTTCCTCTTGTGGTATCATCTCTGGTGGACCTGTTTCCTCTCTAGACCCAACAACTCAGAAAGGGGACAAGAAACAAGATAGATAGATGAGGCAGCAGGGAAATTAAAAATAGTAAATATAAGAAGGGCCAGACTCAGAAATTAAAATAGAATCAGGAAGTAAAAACTGAAAAATGAAAATATCAAGCTACTCTCCTATCACCTTCTCCTTTTAGATGTTAAGTTACAAGAGTAGGGAGATATAAAAAGCTGTCTGCATCTGCCTTCTCCTCTGAGATGTTAAGAAACTACAAACTCTTTGGATGTGTAGAGAGACAGAAGATTGGAGGGCATGTCTGGCAAAGGGAAGTCCTGAGGCTCACACCTGTTGTTCCTGTGTTTTGAATAAGCTTATTCCACATCTCCATGTTTTTGAATGATGAACTGGACCCATCTTGGCTATGTTTGGGATCATAGGCCTACCATGGACCCAGTGCCTCTAATGGTTAGTGGTTGCTAGATGACATGACCATGTGTATACCCACAACTAAGAAAATACAAAACACATATAAAAACCACCAACTTTTGAGCTCTGCTTCCATACCTGCATTTCAAGAAGGAAGTACTTCTCTTCTTTTTTGGTATTTCTTCCTTCTTTATCCTGTTTTACTAAACTAGTTCCTTGCTAATACTTCTGTCTTGTGAAATTCTCCTTTTTGTGAGATTCCTTAAAATGTTTTTCATTGTGGATCTCAAGTTTCTGTGATTTGTGTAACAACTGGAAAGCTGAGGGACCCCG